ATTTTTTTGTTCAATAATAAATGTGAATTCTTCTTCCTGGAAAAAATAAGACATTCCCTGAAAATAAGACCTAGCGCATTTTTCAGAGCAAAAATTAATATAAGACACTGTCTTATTTTCGGGGAAACACGGTAGTAAAATAATTTTATTAATAATAATAATTTAGTAACATAAATTTATTCATAGTAAAATGTACTCGCGGGCCGTGAAAATTATTTGGCGGGCCGTATACGGCCCGCCAGTTGGACAGCCCTGTTTTAGAGCATGCAAACCTTGCATTACTCTTATATCAACCATTATAAAATAACATTATAAAAAAACATATAAAATAAACTTAATCAGTAAAGACATTCCTTAATTACAATTTTAAAAATCCTATTAGAATATTAAATCATTACTTCATACACAGTCTGTATCTAACTTTATACATTAAATTAGATAAGCTTGAAATTATTCAATTAAAAAGTCTAGCTATCTATAACCTAATTTAAACTTAAATTGTGACAAACTTTTAAAATGTAGCAAAGTTACAAATCAAAAAGTTTAAAATACTGGTAAAATTATATTTTTGTTAAAAAAAAAAAAAGGGGTAAAAATGTTATATTTCTTTTTAGAGATCATCTTTAAGAATCTATAATTAATGTTAAAATAATAATATATACATTTGACTAAGAAATTTCTACCTCATTAGTAACAGATTTAAAGCATTAATTAAAACTTGCTATGAATAAACAAACAAATTTTTAAGTAAAACATAAAAAAAGTTTATCATCTTTAAAATAATACAACTTGCATTATGTAATTAATAGTAGGGTAAGACAAAAGTCAATTCAAAATATTACTAGTTTTTCAGTAAAATTAAAAACCTTAAAAATATAATTCGTATCTTTAAAAAGATCATCATCTTTATAAATTGATTCAATACTTAATCTCAGCAAAATGTTAAGTATGCCTATAACAAGCAGAAACTCATTCACTGTATTATTTTATTAATTTATTAATTAATTAAAAAAAGTAAAACAAAATGAGGAAGTTTTTAAATTTAAAAAAAACTTTGTTATATAAAATTTAAAATCAGTCTTATAGATGCTTTAATCACTGTCTATCAAAACTTCATAGAAAAAATTTCAGCACTTGTTAAAATTAATCAGTAATCTATACAACTTAAAATTCTTCAAATATTTTTCTTATTACATAATTAGTCATTTCAGCCATATAATATCTTGTAATAACTAAGAAAAATGATATTTCAAGAGCAGTAGCAGAAACATGAACCTTTAACTGAAAATTAATCACTTATTTGGAAAAAACTCAGTTAACAGTGATCTGTAATTGTCACCATAGGAAAATATTTTAAAAGTTTTTTCAGCAACTAAATTTTAGAGAAAGAATATTTTTAAAATGATAAAATTATATCTAAGTCAAAATTAGTCAGATATTTGACAGATTAATTTTTAAAATCCAATAAACAGATCTCTTATACTTCTATTACTTTACATGTACACAATAAATTTTGTAAACAAAAAAAACTCTTCCATAAATATCAATCACAGCTAAAAACTGTGGATGATATTTAATCATAGTTTATCTAAAGTTTTTACAGCATTTTTAAAGGCCAGATCTTGGCCAAATGCCAATGAATTAATATCAAATTTCTAGTATTTTTCTTGCTATTCAAGAACTATATTATCAGTATCTAAAATTTATTAAGATATCAAATCTAAAATTTAAAATTTTTTTAACACATTTCAGACAAAGGAATAAGCTAAATATTTTAGAAATACACATCTATAGCAATTTTATATAGATCATATTCAAGCAAGCATTATACATAATATATTATGCTAATATTTATTTTTTGCTAATTAAACAAGTCTCCATTAATACTATTATACCATTATAATGACTGAAGCTTAACATAAATTGCATCTTAATACAGACAGACAAATTTGTTTATAAAATGCAAATTCAATTTTATAGGATAACTTATTGTATATAGTCTTTGAAATTTTATTATTTCTATACTTAACTATTCATTGAAAATTTTAATAAATTGCAATTTTTAATATAAAACTTTGTATTAAATTCACAATCAAAACAAAAATTAAATCTGAACTTTAATATAAATCATAAATGATAATTTGCATCAAAAACAAAAAAAAAGTGTTTATATAATAATAAAAAACCACATTCGAAAGTAATAAAGATAAAATTTATAGAATTACTAATCTTAAATTATGTTCTCTGGAATGATCTAATCATAGTATCTTAGACTTTTTTCCTCTCCATACATTAAATACAAAATTTGAAATTTATCTTAAAAAAATGCCTAAGACATTTTGTAATCGAGATGTATAAAATGACAAACAGCATTTTATTAGTTAACCTTTTTTTTTTCTAACTAAAAAGAGATAAATCCTACCGTAACGGCAGAATCTTATTGGGCTACTATAAGGCTAATCAATCAATTGGCCTCACAGTAGCCCAATAAGATTCCTGCTATATTTGATTAGAAATATGTATCAGGTTGTCTGTATATCAATTATAAAAGAAAGGGGACATTCATATAAAAAATAAAAGTAAAAATTATTATGAATAGACCTTGACAGTTTGATTTTATAAATATCAATTAATTTGAAACATGTCATTGATCAACTTTAAAAAAAAAACCTTTTAAAAATGATAAACACTTAAATTTAAAAAATTCATAACTTTGTCTCGATCGTTTATATTTTATAATTGTAGTAATAAACGTGAAAATTTAATTTTTCTTGGTAGGAACTACTTTTACTTTCAGACAGTGACCTTAAAAGTAACTTCTACCGCTTTTTCTTTAAAATTCTAAATAAATAAAAGCATCTTTTCCTCAGTAAATTTATACAAAAAGCTTTACAAGATGCCAATTCACAATGTAATTTGGGTTAAAGCAGTTAAATGTATTGGAATTTAATTAATTTATGTACTTAAATGACGATTAAGATAAATTAAGAAATTAACTAATGCAAATCTCGTACCTATCGTCGATATAAACGTTGTATTAAAAGCATCGTCCGAAAACCTGAATAATATACACGTTTTACCGACACCAGAATCGCCGATTAATAATAATTTAAAGAGCAAATCATAGGACTTTTTCGCCATCCCTTCTTCCCACTTGTTTCAATATGGACGTTGATTGAAGCGCCACACCTTAAAATATTAAATAATTCTTCTTCTTCTTTGATTAATGCGTATTTATATAATTCGTCTAAAAATTTAAATAATTTTAATTACGTTATTAATTCACATAAATCTAATATTAATAATTATCTTAATTATTAATTGTTTTATTAAAAAGTAAATTATTTTTTTCTATTTTCTTTTTAATTTATTATCATCGATATAATAATGCATTCTTAATTAACGAAATTAAATATTAATTTATCAACATTTTATCAACATGTGTATTTATTATTGTATTTTTTTTATCAATTTAATCACGATCTGAGCTATTTTATAAAAATTTTTATCAATTAATTTCATTAGTGAATAAATCTATATCGTGGCGAGATGAAAACGCGCCGAGCTTCCGTTACACGAAGTCTGGCAGTATTTAGATTTTTGGAGTCTTTTAAGGCGAATTTCGCTATTCTTTACGAGTTTCTTATCATTGTTTCCATAGACATGTTAATGTTAATGTAAAAAGTAATGGGGCAGCGGAGTGATGAAAATGACAATGTGAAATAGTCATACATACTGTACAACAGTCTCCGTGAAAAATTCCTGATGTTGCTGGCCCGGCGGAACTCGAATCCGATACGAGACTTACGCTCTGGGAAGTCTGGGTTAGGCAATAAGATTAGATGCAAATGAATTAATGCTCGAATAATCTTATTTTAGTTTCTATCATTATTGATAGAAGGAACATTCTGGTCCTTTTCATTCATACATTTTAAGCTTTGTTAAAAAATATTTAATAACTGTTTAGTTTTTTAGTGTACACGCTAAGGTGTTATATGTGATATTAATGTATTTAACCATACATGTGATATTTCACTGTAATAAAAATTTATACAAGATAATTACTTTAAACTGTTTTTAAAAGGGTCGGACAAAAACATTGAGAAGGCCGCATGCGGCCCGCGGGTTGGACATGTCAGATTTAAACAACGGATTTTTTAAAAATCTTTGTGAGTATATGCGAAATAAAGTGCGTCATCAGATTTACGGTTGTAATATGCCATTCATCGACGAAATTTTTAATGAATTTAATGAAAACAAATCGAAAACAAATTGTTTGAGCCGAGTGATAAAAAATCAAGTGACTTTTGCCTACCTTCACCTAAGTATCCTTATAGTAATCCTTTGCAGTAGCGTGCGGTGACATTTGATGATAGGGAAGTCGTGGCGGCCCTGGATACAATCATTGGAAGCGTTATACGATATTTTGGTATGTAGCATCCATCGGCTAAACAGCGAGGTTGGTGCTCTGTAAAGGGCATGCGCCAATGCGTATAATCTGGCTGCTTTACACCATTCGGATATTTTTGCCGTGGAAACTGTCCCGTGTTCGAAAACACGGCGCTTCCCAATCGGAATATGCGTATTCGAATTTATATTCGAATATACAATAGCCATCTTATCGTTTTTTCTCACACGTAGTATAGAAATTTTAATAAGATACATAATGTGGTTATAATAAAATATCAATTTGAATTAATTCAAAGTACTTTAAAATATAAAAATTATCGCGCGATATGTATTTATATTTTAGAAAATACAAGGGAAGCGACGCTTCCACAGCTTTTGTGGACGGCTCCTTAATAATTGTATCGTAATTCAGCTTATATGCTATATATGCTTCAATAGATAAAGCTGCGAAAGTTGAAAGTCTTTACTGACCCATTGTATTTCTTAAATAATCTTTTATTAGTTTTAATTTTGAAAAGCTCCTTTCAGCGTAAGCAGTACTTACCGATATTGTTAACAAAATTCGAACGGCAATGTAAATATTTGGGTAAATTTCTTTCAAGTTATTTTATGTTATGTATTGGAGCAGCTGTTTCACATCTTTAATGAAATTGGACAAATTTGGGATCATTGTTTTTAATTCTTCATATAATTCGTAAGGTTGGAAGTCACTGCTCTCACTCACTCGCAGGACTGAGTGTCAATCTTGGCAGTTTTTTAATATTTGCTCTTTTGGAATATTTTTTAACTCGCTTAGATCGTTGAGAAAACCAAAACTTTCAAAATGTTGATTTAAAGACATAAATCCCGAATCCATATTGCTTATTATAGAATCAATCGTGGTGTTAAAAAAATCTCTTTCATACCTGCTTTTGGGAGACTGTATAGATTGATCGCTGCCTTCATCATCGAACATCCTTTTCTTTTTGGCTATCCTTTTGTTTTTAAAGCCTTTCGGCAGTTCATAACTGCTATTCTCAATAAATTGACGAGCGTCAGACAAGCATTTTTCGAATCCAGTTTGTCGATATTCTTTGATCCAGTCACAAAATGTACATAAATGTTCAAGATCATTGCTTAAATGGACTTGTAAAGATTGCCATAATTTGCTTATGATATTAACACGCGATAATATCTCATATCACACATGTAATGATATGATAAATTCTAAACTGAGCATTTCGTTTAAAACCGAATCACAATCACCGAGTGTGTCTGATTGTTCCGTTTGATTTTTTAAGCTTTCGATGCTTAAAAAATCAACAACATCATCTAATTGCAATAATACGGCCTTCACTGCCTCGATTCTGCTTTCTCACCTTGTGTCTGATAAAGGCTTCAAAGTAAGCTTTAATTTGCCTTTGATTACTTTCCAGTGTTTGCTGGAACTTGAAAATAGCAAATAAATTTTCTGAATAAAACCAAAAAATGTTTTTGCTACCACAGAAGAATTAGCTGCGTCTACCGACAGCAGATTTCAGTTATGACAACCGCAAAGTGTAAAAAATGCCCTGGGATTAATATTTAATATTCGAGTTTTAACTCCACTGTTTACGGGATACTTTACTGCGATACTTTGATTGGCTTTCTAGCCGTTNCACCTCAGACTATAAGTACAGTAGCTCAAGTGAAGACAGACGAGGTGAGCTCCTGAACCGAAAGCGTTGGTCTGCTGGTAGCAGTGAACAAGGTGTCGAATAGGAAATCCTAGTAGGAGATTGAAGGTTCAATTTTGACAATAGGAAAAGAGGAAAGTCTTGAGTAGAGGAAAGGGTTCCGAGTATTAATTGAGGTGACGGTTAGGATTGATAGTTATAAGAAATATTGTATCTAAGTTAAGATTGGATTTTGTTTTGTCGGAATTCCAAGGGGAATAGTTTCTAAGTTAGAATAAGACTTAAGTTTGTCGGGTTGATTGTGATTTGATTTTTTATTTAATAAATTTGTTGTTTGTTGATAAAACTTGTACATAGTATTTGTTAGATTTGATTAAACATTTATTATTCAGATTTTTTTGTGACTAACTTTGTCCTTAATTTATTTCGGTGCACGCTAAAAGTCCAGGCCTGGCAACTAATAAACGCGAACCCGCGTAAAGTACCCGTTAGGTCCCGGCTCTAAGAAAAATTCGTTGTAGAGCAACAAACTAAATATAGTACTTTACATCCCTTCTTAGTGTGCATTTTCATGACGAACCCTAACTGTGTACCAAATTTCTGCTCTTTAGGTCCAGCGGTTTGCTCTGGGCGATGATGAGTCAGTCAGGACAAGCAATTTTATATATATAGATTTGCAAAATTTTCAGTTAAAGTTTCTGTACAAACTGATAAAATTCCTCAAATAATTTTAAAAATTTCTTAAAATACATATAGAACAAACTAACTTCTTAAAATTAAAATCCGTATGCATCTAAGTTTAAGTATATAAACATAATAATTAAAATGATAAAAACAAAGATTGTGAAGTTCTGAATTTTTTTTCTGAGAATTAAATAAAAACAAAAAAATGGCAACTATTCAGTTAAAAAAAGCCATATATGATATTTTTAATCTATTTAATAGTTCAAATACTATAACATCATTTAAATTAAAAAAAACAGCATAGCAAGGCAAGGTTTTAAATAATTTGTTGTGTATATTGTGGGGGAAATTTTTATGACTCAAAATTTAAGTTCTATTAAATAAATTATAACTGCTTTAAGTTCAAAATAATTTCATTAAACCAAAACTTCCATAAGGACATTTGAACAAATTTGTTTTTAGATAAAATTTTATAAAAAAAATGAAATTTTAAATATACTAAACTTACTTCATCTATATTCCGTAACCATTTAGCAATATTATCAAAGCTCTTTGGATTAGTAATATCATAAACTAGCATTATACCCATTGCACCTCTGTAGTAAGATGTAGTGATTGTATGAAATCTCTCTTGACCTGCTGTATCCCTATAAAAAATTAAAAGATGCTATTAACATACAATAAATTAGTAAGAAATCATTAATCATGATAGTTTTTATTACAAAATAAAATATATCAGATGAGCCCAGCATTACTCAGGCAAAAAGTGACGATAACAAAAATTAAGTTTATTAGATCATAGCCGATCTTACCAGTTTTCACCAGGTGCAAAAATTAAGTCCTCCCTCTTCCAAGACAAATTAGAGAATTTTTAGATGGGTCTAAAAATATGTTAGATTTTCCACAAAAATGCAAAACTGCATCTAAAATATACAGTAGAATCAGAGTTCAGGATAATCCTTAAAAAATTGCTTGTTTGTTTTCACATTTTTGAAACATGTCCTGTTTTGCTTAAAAGAGCATGCTCATGTAAACCAGCTTGTTTTAATTTATAAGAGCAATAAGCTGTTGTACTGATACATTAACTATTCACTGACAAAAATATAAAGCCAAAGTAAAAAACTGTTTCCAATACTATAAAAGTTTAAAATAAATACTACGAAAAGCCTAAAAATGTTAGTTTAGGCATTAAAAAAACCATTATTTCCAGTCCAGACTGGATGTTAAATCAGAACCTCTAGCCCCTAAGCTTTCCACATCTTGTCTCAATTTTCAAAATTATGGAAGTAATAGATAAACAATAGTGAAAATACACATCTGCAATTTGAAAAATTGTAACCCAATTAGCCTTGTAAAGGCTAATTTGAAAAGGTCTATGAAAAATATTGTATTGTCAATAAATAAAACTTAAATTGTTTTTTATTTTCAGGATTGAGATGTTAATTAAATATACAATTAAAGATGTGGTCAATAGAAAATAAGTTCAAAATAACTGCATAAAAAAAAAAAATAATCATTAAATTAGATTTTAAATTCAATTAGTTTTACAGTAATTATACTTTTAAGTTACTTCTATAAAAAAAGTTTATTATTACAGTTGACCCCCTATAACACTGTTTATAATTCCGTTTTATATGAATTCCATGTTGTACGAGTCACTTAAATTTTACAAATACGTGTGCCTGGCTGTGAACGGCTCACGTATTTGTAAAATCTAAGTGACTCGTACAACATGGAATTCATATAAAACGAAATTATCAACAGTCATAGTGGGGTCGACTGTTCAGCACTGTCATGTATAAGTAACAATCGTTATATTGAGAATTAATACAAATAAACATGTTTTCTTAAGCTGAAAGCCTAAATATTATTAATAAGATTTTCATTTTCTGCAGTATTTGGTACAGGTTGAAGTCCACGTGCATTACATTTACGACATGACACGGCAAATAATACTACTACGTTACTTTGAAATTCTTCTTTTAAATATTGCATAAATAGTCGAATTATCATTAGCATCACATCATCATAATTACAGTCGATCCCCCTATAAGATCATTAATTATTCCGTTTTATATGAAGTCCATGTTGTACGAGTCACTTAGATTTTACAAATACATGTACCGGGCTGTGAACGGCTCACGTATTTGTAAAATTTAAGTGACTCGTACAACATGGAATTCATATAAAACGGAATAATCAATGATCTTATACGGGGGTCGACTGTATTACAATACCTTTTACCTATACTACCTTAATGCATCTTACTCATAATAGTAAATGAAAAATATATGAAGAGAATATACAGTAAATGAAAAATAAATGTAGTCTTATCAAATATGCATATTATTACAGTATATTCATATTTTATAAAAGCGGATGTTTTATTAACTTATTTCAACACTCTCTTCACAGATCCCTGATTTTATATATACTTTACTTCCTATACATTAATATAATAATGTAATTTGGACATCGCATTATGTAGTTGGCTTCTGATATTATCTGTGTTACGGTGGATTAATTCCGCTTATAAATTAATTAAATTTAATTAATTTAATAAAATTTTTTGTTATTTGTTATACCTATGTTCATTATTAAATTAATTTAATTAATTTAATAATGAACACTGGTTAAGTTGGTTCAACGTTTGTATGGAATATGTTAGTTTGAAGTTAAAGATAAGGATAGTTAATTACTCTTGAAAAAGGAACTGACTAGTCCTACTTTTACCCATTCCCAATGTAAATGCCAACAAGCTTTAAGTTGTATTGTGAAACCGAAACAAAAGCTTCATTCTTTGTTATATTGAGTCAAATGTCAATGTTATTGTTTTACTGTACACAAAATAATGTTTACTTTAATGTCTAACAACTATTATTTTTTGAAGAGTGATTTGTATAATTTCACTTTTAAATTTTACAATATATTCAGTGCTTGAAAGATAAAATACAAAAATTTAATCGAATTTATCCCTCGAAATATTATAAAATCAAACTTTTCTGCTGATTGTTTTATAATAATGCAATCTTGTTTTGTTACTGTAGTTTTATAACGTAGAAATGGATGTTTAAAACAATTAATTTGTATTTTATAGCTTTAAATAAATTGCTGGTGCAGCCATGAATCATTAGAAAATATCACCAATATTGTTATCGTTAAAACTATTGACACAGATATAATATTGCAAATTTATACATTTTTACATGTAATATAAAATTACAAAAATATTATTGACGTTCAGAATTAAGAATATAAAAACATTTTTTATAAATGTATTAATTTTTATGTGTTGTGCGAGATACCGTAGATTAAGGGTTAAATCTCTGCTGACAACTTACTCGGCAACAGTCTGCAAAGATCGCCCACGTTGTCGATAGGTTTTTATGGAGTGGCAGAGGGAGGTGAGCAAGTCGACATTCGTCCTTTGATAGACAAAAGACAAGTTTTAACAAAATAACAAAGTATTTATTAAAATCTACGGTTAACAAAGTCGGTTAAATGCGATTAAATATTAGACAAATACACAAAGGGGCAGCTCTTAGCAGCTAAGCTTATTTTCGGAGAGAGAGAGTTAGTTCACAATGCTCTAATAAAAATACCTCTACGAGGGGACGAATGGTATGCGTCGAATGGTTCGTAGGAATCGTATTCCGATGTAGGAACTGTAGTATAGCGATAAGTATGGAAGTTCGAAGCCGTGGTCTGTCTTCTACCGATATTTTTTCCTTTTCTCCGTTCGAGTCCGTTGTATGGAGGTCCGGGAGACGAGATGCACACATTGACAAGTATAACTTCTTACGGATCGCCCTGATCTTCCGGGAGCTCAAGCTTTTATTCGATTGCCGTAAGAAAGAAGTCACACGAACGCCAAATGTTGATAATAACGGTGCATTCTTGACACCTATGCGTCAATTTTCCCATCTAGTTGTTAACACAAAAGGTGACCTCCCATCTAATTTTCACTAGGAGCGTGTTTTTTCTATCGGAGTTGTTTACATTTTTTCCCCGACAAATGCGTCAGATTCGCAGATTTCACAATTGTATAAAATTGTTGCTGATAAAAATGACGGACAATTACGCAATGAAATTACGCGATCCCAGAAAAAATACATAATATATCTGTATCATAATAATCTGTGTGTAAACACAGATAAAATAAAGATATATAAAAAAAACTACCGAAAGTAACGTAACACAGGAAATGCGGTATATTACGTCACAACATAAAGCACGTGCCTTCTTATTTCTTTAGCTTACATTTTTAATTTATTTGTTTCTTATGGTTTAAAATTTCTAGATTGACTTTGTAACAAGTTTATTAATTAAACAAACACATTAACAAGCTTATAAATCTAATTATACTTAAACACATTATTATAAAATGTCATATCCATAATAACTTTAATATTTACATCAAAAAAACCAAACAATTTATATATATAGAAAATTCTGTCATATTCAGACAGTAAAAATTTTAAAATGAAATATTAAATAGTAACCAAGATATCAGTGAATACCATCATGCATATTTACAGCTATAAGAAGAATTACATGCTTTCAATACTGAGAAGACATAATTTCTTTAGTATTGGAAGAGAGCACGGCATGTAAAAGGTTATGCAATTGTGATAATAACAACATGACAATATATGCTAGTCCGTTTTTATGTATTTAATTACATACTGTTTTATACCATGTATCCCAAAAATAATTAAGAGAAATACAGTAATTATATTTGCGATTGAGCTTTGAAAAATGAGCTTTGAATCTAAAATATGATACAATGTAGTTTAAAAAAATATTAATTAATCACAAAAAGAAATTCTTGTATAAAGAAACTCTGAAAAAAAGTAAATGTGAGATCCGGAAGGCCCTAGGCCTCATTTAATAACTTTTATTAAATATGCTTAAATAATGTCACCAAATAATACTTCGTTTTGGTGAGAAAAATATTGTTTTAGACGTGGGAAAAACTAGATGACAAATGTTATTTCCTTTCATCGAGGAGAACATCCGCTGTTTTTCCCATATCTGGTTAAAAATCTCGCTCCGATGGGAAATGGTTACCCCTCATTCATCCCCCTCTCATCCGTTCTCACGAAAGAGTTACTATACGATGATTGGACGAAGTTTGGAAATAAAAGGAGAAATTAGTCATAATTCGGGGAGTCCTCCGACCGATTTGAAAGTGTCNAATTAGAAGACTAAGAATCTCGTAATATATAATACGATATATATATATATATATCTTATTCTTCTGTTTATCAGGTTAAGACAGAGGATGGTGAGATGGGACCATCCCTAAATACAAATCAATTGTCAGAAGTATGTACAGTACAAACTTTGTCTTTATCTTACTTTCAAGTATATGAAATTTGAGTTGCAAGATTTGAGGATATGCTGCAAAGCATGTTAAATGCTTTCAAAAAATCTCATTTTAGTCTCTCTCTCTGAGATTGGATGGAGCCAATGTTTATTATTGTATATCAGTGGCGTGCTGTCCTTGGAAAGCAGTAGAAGCGTCGCTTCCCTTATATTTTCTAAGATACAAAGACACAGTGTGATTATTTTCATATTTTGATGTACTTTGAATTAATTAAAATTAATATTTTATTATAACTGCATTATGTATCCTACGACAGATTTCTATACTATGTGCAGAAA